CTGTCACACAGCTCGTCTCCGTGTTTGATGTGGGGTAGCTTTCGGACCATCTTCCCCAGCTGACCAAGCGCGTCGAAGCTGAGATGTCTGAACCGGGCATGCCACATCCATGGTTCCTCGGAGTGCCTTGTCGCCAGGCAAACCGGCTGCTCTACCTTCAGGTCGAGCAGGTACAACCGGTTCAGGGACCTCTTCACCTTGGCGAGAAGTCGCTGCTCCTGGTCTCTGATCCTCAGAACGCCGTCCTTGATCAGAACCTTGCTACCGCGCTCATCCAGCTGACCAATGTTGATGATGCTAGAACGCAGCTGCGGGATGTAGTATACATCCGTTAGCGCGTGGTGCTCCCCGTTCTGGTATCTGAAGATGATGGTGCCGCGCCCTTGGATAGCCACCCTTGAGCCATCACCAAACTTCACCGTACCGGTAACATCACCGTCGAGCTCGGAGAAGGAGTCCTTGGAGCCCGTCATGTGGTTACTGGCACCAGAGTCCAGATACCACCGCTGCTCCTGGTCGATGCCCACATGCCCAAGATGGACTTGGGCGCGTGGTTCGTCGAGGTTGACGGTCTTCAGGGCCTTGCTAGATCCTTCCACCGTCGTCGCCTCTTTCCTCTCCATGGCCTCGACGTCGTGCAGTGCACAGAACGTCGCTATAAGGATAGTGGCCTCATCCTCATCATCGGCTTTCGCCAGGTGAGCCTAAGCCTTCTTTTCCTTCTTGCGATTTGGACACTCCCGTGCCTAATGGCCCATCTTCCTGCAACACCGACAGGCGTTGGAGTCGATTTGCTTCTTCTCCGAACAAGCCCTGCTGCGGTGCTTGCCCTTTCCACCGCGACTGGAGGAGGCTGCCTTCTCAGAGTTTCGCCGAGCAGCCCACTCCTCTTCCGTCAGCAGGAGTTTCCCGCTGTCCTTCGTTGCTGTCGCCTGCTCCAGGCGCTCATCCACCGTCCGCAGATGGCCTGCCACATCCTCAATAGTGAGGGTCGACAAGTCCAGCATCGTCTCTATGGAGAGATCGATCTGGATGTACTTTACCGGCACGGAGTGGAGGAACTTGGAGACCGCCTCCTCTTCGTCGATGGTGACGCCGTGGCTATTCAGCTTGCTGATGAGCGTCTACAGACTAAGGGAGAAGTCCTCCACCGTTTCACCATCCTTGAACTTGAGGTTTGCGTACTCCTACTTCAGAAGCTGGGCCGTCGCCTTCTTTGCGCGGTCGGAACCGACGCGCATCGCCGCAATGGCCTCCCACGCCTCCTTAGCTGAGCTCTTCATCCCCAACGGTTCCCTATACTCCGTCGGTACAGCAGCGAGGATAGCCTCCAACGCTGACATGTTGTCTTCTTCCACGTCGGTGCCCTTGTCAACAGCATTCCAGAGCTGTCGGGCTCTGAGCTTGACCTTCATGGTCACCAACCACTCTCCATAGTTAGTGCGAGTCAGCGTCGGCCAAGTGGTGCCGCTGACCTCCCGCACCGTGCGGACAACTACCTCCGGTAGTGGCTGGGTAGCCACGACAGTGCCACTGCCGTCGCCCAACTCCGAACCGCCTATCATCGCCATCGGTTAGAATGACGACGGCGCTTGTACGGCTCTGATACCACTTGTTGGCCCACTGGATCACCGTCCAACGATAGTGAACTAGTCTCCGACCACTAGTCTCCCAGACCACTAGTCTTCCAGACTAGACCACTAGTCTTCCTCCCAGACCAGACCACTAGTCTCCCACTAGTCTCCTAGACCAGACCACTAGTCTCCAGACCACTAGTCTCCCAGACCACTACACCGGTTCTGTCCGTACCCACACACTACGGATCGAGCTAGAAGAAGAAGGGAGAACAGAGCAAGCACGCACAATACAAGACAATAACGTTGGCCGAGGCCCTGTCTGTGTGATGGCAAATCTGAGCTCTCTTTACTGAGTTGCCATACATGTCTATTTATACAACTCTAACTATCTAGTCCATGTGCGGCGCCCATGTCTGCACACATAACTAGATAACCTTTGACAGGCTGACTCTGCCGCCACCCTTTGCCTGTTCCTCTGATCTTCAGAGGTGAGCCGTCTGCGCCTTTGCACTGTGGCGCCTACAGATCACAAAGGGGGGGCAAAGTCGGCGCCGCCTTCCCTTGCTGTGTTCACACACAGCAGGCGGCTAAGTCGGCGCCGCCTTCCTCTGCTGTGTTCACACAAGGTGGCAGTAGATTAGCTAACAGATCCCAAGTGTCCGACACACCAAGGATTACAAGGGTGGTTCGGCTAGAACCTGCACCTCCTCATAATCTCTACTTTAAGGTCCAACCTAGCAATAATCACTCAATAACAATGTGCTTAATGCCTTGGATTGATCAATTTAGTACTTTCGTGGCTTGGAAGTCTTCTCAAGTGCCTATGTCTTCACTTGGACTCCAGCAACCTCAATTGGCCGGAGGAACAGATATAACTAGCCCAAACCAACAAACTAGCTACTTTTGTGGTTTGGAAGTCTTCTCAAGTGCCTATGCCTTAACTTACTCCAACACCCTCAATTGGCCAGTGGATGTGGCATAACTAGCCCAAACCATCAAAGTAGTTGTTGCCAATGATTGTGAAAAACATGAGCACCGGATGAACCAGTGGTTCATAGGCACCATCACCAGATCATATAGGTTGTGTGAACTCTACACATTGCTATAGTACATCGGTGGTTATCTCAGAGGGGTTACAACAAAGACTAAAAAACTAAGCTAGCCCAGATTTCCAATCGACTTAGCCCAAGACCCTGTACCTTGAAAGCCCTAGCGAGCGTCCAAAGATGAGCTTCTAACTTTAGTTTTCTAAGTGTAGTAGAGACACTTGGAGAGTCTCCCTCAAACACACATGCATTCCGCTGCTTCCAGAGCATCCAGGTACCCAAGATGATGAGGGTGTTAACCCCTTTTCTTTGGTATTTGCTAAATCTTTTGCTAGCTCTCCGCCTAGCACCATATCATCTGGTCTTCACATTTCAACCAAGCAACATCATCATTAGTTGTTGGATGTTGCAATCACTGTACAATACTGTGGTTATAAACTCTGCTGTTTTCATCGGACCTTTCAATCTTTGGATTTTCTCTGGCTTTCGCTTTTCACTCTTCCCAAGACATCTTTTGGTTAATACTTCGATGCAATACTTTTCTTTTCCTTCTCCTTTGCTACCATGCAATACTTGGTCCTCTTCTTTTCTTCTCCATTAATCCTTTGGTCTTCATTTCTTCTTCTACCATTGTGCATTACTATTGTTTTATACTCCATTGTGTGCATCCTCATATTCACTGAACCTTCTTGTGCTTCACTCATTCTCTTGATTTTACATGATTTACTTCTATCTTCATCCAATCTTTGTGGCATCCTTTTGCTCAGCATCTTTAGACCCCCTTCCTCCATTCCAAATTAAAGTCCACTTTGGCTTTGTCCTAAACTAAACTTCTCCAAATTTAAACAAGTTTCTGGGAAAATATAGTATCATCTACAAGTATAAATAAATGCACTTGCAAAATATATTTTATGGCGAATTTAATGAAACTAATTTGATGTTGTATATGTTGGTGGATTTTTTTTATAAACTTGATCAAAGCTAAAGAAATTGACTTCGGACAAAACCGAGGTGAACTATAATTTTAAGTTGAGGTTGTATTAAACATATTATAAACAAACATGTTAGTCATAATGAGTATATTTCCACTTAGTCACCAGAATCACAAGTCATGGCTTATTAGGGTCATATTTGCTACACTAGGCGAACATTGCAGGATAGATCATTCCTTCCCTCCATCCTTGTTGCAGTGTTGGTTGTGGTCATCTTCAGAGTTGGAGGTGATCTCCGCTGGACTTAGCACTGCGGCATGGATTTCAAGTCAGTGTAGCTTTTACAGATCTGTGATGATTCATTGAACTCTACGAAACGACCTGATGGCTTAGAGTAGGATGAAGGTGGCTAGCATCAAGTGATGGCAGTGCTGCAACCACCAACACCACATGGTTATGTACATGCACGTGATGGACAAGGTTTGCATAAGAAAAACGATGAGGGGACTACATGAGCTAGAGTTTTGTTGGTGGGATGAAGGCACTCATCGAGATGAACTTAATATAGTCGGTGGGTGGTTGTCATTGTCATCGATGAAGAAGAGGATGCAGGTACAGTGATGTGATTCTTTTGGCAGCGACTATGTCGTGTTCCTTGTCTATTTAGGCCCGTTCACCTGCCCTTAAAATCAGCCGGAATTCACTGTTCATGACTGAAAAACACTGTTCACTCTTTCACAGATTCATCTAGATTCCTCCAAATTCCTCCCAGCGAACAGGGCCTTAGCGTCAAAATATATCAAACACGGGTCTTGGAATTGTTCATTTAACTCAAAGGAATACAATATTTTAATCGTACAAAATGTTAAGAGTTATCATTTGAAGATTGCTATTGTTAGAGCTTATACCCTTTTGTGATAGTAAATTAAAGATATTAACCACAAAGGAAACATTCCTCTGAATCACTAACATCTGCTGCTACCAGCCAAAAATGATACTAAAACTTCTTTTTTCTCAAACACTCAAGAGAGCTGAGTATCTTTGTATTAAAGAAGAGGAAAACGATCAAGATAGAAATGCCAAACTCATGCCAAGTAGGCCATAAATCCACCCACATTAATAAAATTAGGATATAAGGGGAAAATGCCACAAATGGAAATAAAGATGAATTAAAAGAGACTGGGACTATCGTGGTCAAAGGGCTCTTTAACCTGATCAAAGGCCAAATGGCACCAAAACTGCTTGTGAGTCATACAGTTAGTGGACCAAAAACAATTTCTCCTTGAATGTGCACCTCAAATTCAGGGCTTCAAATGGATATCCGAAAAGTCATAAAGTTAAGGCCAAATATTTCTGGCGTAGAAAATGATTTTTCTCTGTTTGTTGCTTTCTATGTAATGATGAGTCATATTAGCCTTGGAGTCAGACTTTTTCTTAGCTTTCAGGCTTTCTTCCAAAGGTGGTGGGCAGAGAAAATCCCAAACATTCAGGCAATAGTCCGCAAGCTGGTTGATTCGGGTCAGCTAGAGTTCATGTATGGAATGTGATTTTCCTTATTCTCTTTTGCTTTGTCTTCATACTGTTTTCCTTTCAAAATTACTGGTGGATATCACGATTCAGAAATGGTGGATGGTGCATGCATGATGAAGCTACTGTCCATTATATTGACATGATTGATCAGACCACGCTTGGTCACCGGATGATCAAGAAACAATTCAACAAGACTCCAAGAGCTGGCTGGCAAATTGATCCTTTTGGACATTCTGCAGTTCAAGCTTATTTGCTTGGAGCAGAGGTAACTACTATTAACATCATATTTTCAATGAAGCCATTTTCACCAAAACCAGTAAAGCAGTATGATAAGCTCCTACATTTTTCTACACAGAAGATACAATTCTCATAAAACACAAATTATCATTTTTCAGTCTGGCATTGCAAGCACATGATATACTAATTAAAGTTATTCAATGAATGCTATATTTGTCCGGTGGATGCAAATGATAAGCCTTAGTGATTTTCCTGGGTTTAATTCTCAATAAAGCAATATCAGCTATTTGGAGTCGAAAATTTGGGAACTTTGAACAACTCAATTCTGCGTATATTACACTCCTGCCCAAAAAGGAAGAGGCCACAAGGGTCAAAGATTTCCGGCCAATTAGCTTGGTTCACTCATTTGCAAAACTAGTTACAAAACTTTTGGCCAACCGGCTTTCGGGGCGGCTGGACCAAATGGTGTCACCCAATCAGAGTGCATTCATTAAAGGTCGTTTCATACAAGATAACTTCATGCTTGTGCAGCAGACTGCCCGATACCTTCACAAGCAAAAAGAAGCCCGGATTTTACTAAAATTAGATATCACAAAGGCCTTGGATTCTGTGTCCTGGCCTTTTTTATTGGAGGTCATTAGACACTTGGGCTTTGGACCTTTTTGGTGTGATATCATTAGTGGGTTGCTAGCCTCTGCCTCCACACAAGTGCTGCTCAACGGCAGCCCTGGAGAAAGAATATTACATCGATGGGGACTTCGCCAGGGTGACCCACTGTCCCCAATGCTCTTCATATTGATCATGGATGTCATGTGTTTTATGTGCAAGAAAGCATCTGATGAAGTCTTGTTGCAATCACTCGCGAGACAGGCCTTGCAACACCGCATTTCCCTATATGCTGATGATGTGGTGATTTGCTTACGGCCTTCAGCTAGCGACATTGGTATCACTTTGGATATCCTCCAGCTTTTTGGGGACGCCTCCGGGTTGACAACAAATGTGCAGAAGAGTAATGTCTTCCCCATACAGTGCTCCGCAGAGGACAACACCACTATACAAGAATATCTCCCGTGCCAGTTATCTGATTTTCCCTGCAAATATCTAGGAGTTCCCTTGGCTTTGCGCAAACCAACTAAGCAGCAGCTCCAGCCAATAATTGATCGAATTGCAGACCAGCTCCCTGGTTGGAAAGCAGACCTACTTACTAGGGCAGGAAGGAAAGTATTGGTTCAGTTTGTATTGACATCCATGCTGGTATATTTGGCTATGGCAATGGATCTTCCCCCTTGGGTTCTCAAGGCCATTGATAAAATCAGGAGAGCTTTTCTTTGGAGAGGAAGAAAGGATGCAAGGGGTGGCCATTGCCTGGTGGCTTGGCCTAAGGTTACCCGGCCACCTGAACTTGGAGGACTTGGGATTTCTAGTTTGCAGCAGCTAGGATGGGCTCTCCAGATGTGATGGTTGTGGCTGCAAAAAACTGAACCTGATCGCCCATGGGTGGCCTTCACGATTCAAGTCCACCCCTCAGTAAAGGCTTTCTTTGCGGTGGCCATAATTTCGGAAGTTGGCAATGGCACTATGGCAGGAACACTCTGTTCTGGACTGACCGATGGTTGCATGGTCAGAGCTTAGCTCAACTTGTGCCTAACCTCTATGGTTCAGTGCCTAACAAAGCAAGGAAGAGAACAATTTTTGAAGCAATGACTGAGTTGAGATGGGTTCGAGATATTAGGGGGGGCTACTATAGTGGCAGTTTTGGCAGAATATTTCAGGCTGTGGGATATCCTTTCAGAGGTGGTATTGCAACCTGATGTTGATGACTCTCATGTTTGGCAATTTTCTGCCTCAGATTCTTATTCAGCAAAATCAGCATATGAGGGGTTCTTCAATGGTGCTGTACAGTTTAGGCCATGGGAAAGAATTTGGAAGAGTTGGGCACCGGGCAAATGCAAGTTTTTCATGTGGCTGGTGGCGCATAATAGGTGTTGGATGGCAGACCGCCTTGCCAAAAGGGGGCTGCCACACCCTGAACGTTGCCCGCTGTGTGATCAGGCTGAAGAAACAATTAACCACCTGCTAGTATCATGTGTATTCTCCCGCCAAGTGTGGTTCAATATTCTTCAGAGGGTCGGCCTGTGGGACCTTTCTCCCCAGCCCGAAGACATCTCCTTTGATGACTGGTGGGCAGGCACGAACAGTGGAATCGATGGTCAGGCAAGAAAGGGTCTGAATTCTCTCATCATTCTAGGAGCATGGTCTATTTGGAACCACCGTAACAGATGTGTGTTTGATGGGATTCAGCCTAGTCTTAATAGGATTTTAGCTGCAGTTAAGGATGAACTACACCTCTGGAGTCTGGCCGGAGCTCGAGGGGTTTCCCATCTCTTGCTCTAGAGCCAGCCAATGGGTGAGTTCTGCTCCTACTAGTGGTCAAGGGTCAGGTCTTTGTCTAGAGAGAGATGGTTTGTGCCTTGTGAAGTGTGTTGGGGTGTGTTTGGTGTTGTAAGGGGTTTCTAAGCCCCTGTTTTTTCTTCTTAATATAATGATACGCATGCGTGTTCGAGAAAAAAAAATTCTCAATACGTCTTTTCTTGACAATCAACATGTTACTTTGCAAAGCATATGAATATAACATTTCCATACTATATTGCAATTGTAGCTTGGCTTCGATTCTTTGCATTTTGCAAGAATCGATTACCAGGACAAGGAAAAGCGTAAAGCTGCTAAAGGCTTAGAGGTTATATGGCGTGGCTCAAGAACTTTTGGTTCATCCTCACAGGTTCTTATTGTTCTTTGCCTACAATTAGTTTTGCCTATTCCATTCATTAGCACAATGGATCAAGTTTTGATTTTGTGAAGGGAATTTGACTGTATGGTTAAATTTCAGATATTTACAAATGTATTTCCTGTCAATTATAGCCCTCCAGATGGCTTTGGCTTCGAAGTTTTGGATGAAAATATCTTGCCTGTCCAGGTACACGTACACAACCATTTCCTTGCTCCTCGAACCTTACATATATCTTAGTTTCAAATTTGTAGGATGACATGCTGATGTTTGACTATAATGTCGAAGAACGAGTTAATGATTTTGTTGCTGCAGCCATAGCACAGGTAAACTTTCAATATTGTTGCCACAGGCCGTAGTTCACTAGAGCAATTAATTATGCTTTGTTCAAACTAAAAAACGTGGTTTTAACTTCTGATAATCAGGCAAATGTTACGCGTACAAACCACATAATGTGGACCATGGGAGATGATTTTAGTTATCAGTATGCAGAATCTTGGTTCCGGAATATGGACAAACTTATCTATCACGTGAACAAGGTATTGCTGATTTTAAACTGAAGCTGGCAAGGATGACCTGAATCTCAAGTTTTGATACACAGTTTTCATGTTCTGCCGTCATTTTAATTTACCTTTCTGCAATGATACTACTACGTACAACATTTTTCTGTAAGAGGCTGCCTAAGCACATTAGTCATGTGTAATGTGCCACGGTTAATTGATATCATGAAGTCAATAAATTAGAAAATAATGCCAGGAATGCTGCAGGATGGCCGAGTGCATGCGCTGTATTCTACTCCATCCATTTACACAGATGCAAAACATTTGTCAAATGAATCTTGGCCAGTAAAATATGACGATTATTTCCCGTGAGTCCTTGAATTAATTCAATTTGAACAGCACGAAAAATTTTATGCTAAAAAACCATGATGCCCTTGTTCTACTGTAAATTGCAGCTATGCTGATTCAAAAAATTCATACTGGACTGGGTATTATACAAGCCGTCCAACTTTCAAACGATATGTTCGAGAACAGAGTGGTTATTACCTGGTATGAAATTCCCTCTACAACTACATGACTCATGGTGATGTCTACACATTATATAATATATGAAGAATCCTAGAAAATTTTGGGAACCTGGTATTTGTTTACAGGCTGCACGTCAAATAGAATTTTTAGTGGGTAGGAGTTCCTTACGACTGTTCACGGCCAGCTTGGAAGACCCAATGGGAATTGCCCAGCATCATGATGCAGTTTCAGGTACAGCAAAACAACACACGACAGATGACTACTCGAAACGCCTTGCTCTTGGAGCATCTAAGGTAAATGTTTTTCCCTTTCAAAATGGTTGTTACAATTTTCTTCCATTTTCCCTATGAAATTATGATGCACTAGTATTTTTATATATTTTAGGTTGAGAAAGGTGTCAATATCGCTCTGACCTGTTTACTAAGTTCCAACGGCACATGCGTGCCTTCAGTACTAAAATTTAGTCAGGTAAGAAACTATGAAATTATATATTTACTTTGTGGTGTAATTTCCTCGAAATGTAAATCTTGTTGTGGTAGTGCTCAGCCTAGTTCACTTGATCCATTTATATTATGCCCATGGGTATTAAAATATTCTTACCAGAATGAGAAAAGGGAGACCAGCCCTTATTGTTTTGGCAATGTTTGAGCATAGAAATATTACTGTTTTGTACTCCATATATTAACTTGATATAAACTTTCAAATGTTTCTTATGGTTCTTGAATAGATTTACCTGACCAAACTGTTTCTCTTATTGACAATTTCAAGTGCCCACTTCTCAATATAAGCTACTGCCCTTCAACTGAGGAGACAGTTTCAGTGACACAGAATTTAGTAAGTATTATCTATTGAACTATATTTATACAAATTAAAAATTTTATATACTGACATGATCCTTTTCAGGTTGTAGTTGTTTACAATCCTCTTGGAAGGGAACGTAGTGACTTCATAAGGGTTCCTGTAAGTGTCTAACAACTTCACAAAATGTAACACCCCATGACAACTTCTCATGTGAGACGGGTCTGCATATGCGTAGCACCTCTCTTACATTACCTCGAGGTGCTACGTTTGGAGCGACAAATATTATAATGGCCCTCACCTACCCATATTTCCAATATGGTACTAATAAACGCACCAATTGCAAACCACACATGGCCCAACTACACAACTACTACAGACTTCTAACGTGTCGGGGATTACATTCACCTCATTCCCTTAAAGGCTAACGTCCTGGACATCTCATCACATAAACAACAGATGCCCAGAATCACCTCCTCGGTACATGGTTGTGCCCCTCAATGGGCAACGAAAGAGTGTTCATTGTACCCCTCTATGGACAACTTACAATGCAACATGCACATACAATGAGATTTGATGCTTTGAATACCTTTTGAAACACCCCGCATCCATAATCTTCTTCTGGACGAGCTCCTCATGTGGGACGAGTCCGCATATGCATAGAATCTCTCTTACACTTTTGTCCTCGCTTCTTATAGAAGATTAACTCAAATGTGCTACTTTGGAACAACCACCTAAACTTTCACGGTGATACTAAACACACTAACTAGTAACTACAACCACACTACACAACTAGTATAGGCTTTTTTAACAGGACGGGTATTACACTCAACACTTTGTTTCAGTAATTTTTTTATGCTATTTGAAACTGACATGTGTTGTCCCTGTGGTCATCATCCTCACTAGGATTAGTAATAGTTGTTTCCTAGTAGTAATTGTTGACACATAGGTCACCCCTTCTCTTTTGAGTGATAGGTATGTGGGCAGCAATAATAGAGTACTTGTGTAGTTGGTAGATGATCTAGCAAACAGTAGACCTAATGGTAGATATACAACTACATTTTGTATGTATATAAATGAGCAAGTATGCAATGCAAAGAGATCTAGCCTAACAACTCCGAAATGCTAGTGTGTGTTTCCTACCTCCAATGCCAACAATTGGCATCAAAGCCTGGTTAAAGGAGAGTCATGGCTTCTGTTCCTCATGATGGTGAGGTGAGGAACTACCTTTGTCATTCCCCTTTAGTCCAATGGTGCAAAGGATGACTAGAGCCTATCATCTAACGCATGGTGAAGGAATTTGATGGCAGCAACATCTACCCTTTGCTAATGTGCACCAACTATGAAGATTGGAGTCTCCTCAGGAAGGTGCAGCTCTACGCTTATGGCCTTTGGGAGATGGTAGAGCTCGGTGATGTAGATCGCTAGGAGGACCAGATGGTGGTTGAGGCCATCCTGTGCACCATCCAAGCTAAGATGATATACTCGTGCAGTGAAGAAGATGACAAAGGAGGCATGGAAGGTGATCAAGGCCATTCACATCAGCACAAAGCACATGAAGAAGGCGGCAGTGTAGAGGCTGCACAGCGAGCAGGAGCTAGAGGTGCAAATGGTACAGACATTTTCCGACCATATCCGAGTTGGAATCTATTTGGAGGAGTTCAGATCCGTCCGTATCCAAGTTCGTTTATTAAATATTTGATACTATATACATATTCAAATACTCAAATCACATATATATGATGTCAATTTCCATTCATATCTTATCTAACACTGCTGATGCTGATCATATTCGAACGCAAATATGAGAAACACTGTAGTTATATGTATAGATGTCCATCCAGGCCGCCCGGCACAGGCCCGTGCCAGGCACGGGCCGATGGGGGTCAGGCCGGCACGGCACGTCGTGCCTCCCGTGTTGTGCCTCTTAGGGCCACGGGCCTAACCGACGGCCCAGGAACGACACGTAACTATGTGCCTTTTTTCGTGCTGGGCTAGCCCGGAAAGCACGGCCAAATTTAAAGGGCCGTGCCAGTCCATAGCCCGGTACCCTTGAAGCACCTCAGTATACTCCAGTCATCCACCATATAACCAATTTCACAATTTCATTCATAGAATCGAAGTTACATAGATACAAATATTCGCAACACATTCACAAGTTCACATATCACAGTTTGCATTACAGTTTACATTCACAAGTCACAACTCACAAGTTCACAGTCACAGTTCACAACTTGATAGATTCACAACGCAGTTAAGGCCTTAAGGACTTGAGTCAAGAACTGATCAACAGAAGAACCAAAACCAACCAAAACCAAAGTCCAAATCCAACAAAATCAAAGCCAACATAGAAGACACAACGAAAATATGATAACTGAGCTATTTTGTGCAATGCTACCTCATTAAAAACATAGCAATCAACCGACACAACTAAGATCGAGCAAAAACAGGTTTATAGTCGTAGTTGGATTAAATGAAAGCCTAGACTAAACCCTAGCAGATTGATCAGGCTTTTTTCCTACAAGATTTTTTGTGCCTAATCAAATGGCCAGTGCCAATAGAAGATCTAGTAGTCAATTCATGCTTACAGAATTTCCAGATAGCGGCAGTTCGGATCTTCCTACCATTCACATTCTCAAAGACCTCATCAAAATCTACCCACACACCTGATCTAGGATGCTTGCCAACAAATGAAGCATCTGTGCTGTTGGTGTTGGAGCCGACCGGCATCCTTGTCCCCATCACCGCCCCTTCACCACTGCCGTCCAGATCGATCAGAGCAGAACAACTACCAAGGTCGACACCGAACAAGGTAGCAGCGTCGTCATGGACGTTGTCGTCGTTCTAGGTGGCAACCCTACTGCAACCAGGTCTTCATTGATGGTCCATGGATAGATGATATCATCGTCATTCGCCATGGCACCTCGATCGCGGAGGGCTTATCTCCAACCCCGTTCCTCAACAGTGCGCATGGCCACCTTGCCCGCTCTATGCTGGAGCAAGAGGACGAGGCATCGGCTACTGACTTATGCAAAGGAGATGAAGGATGAGCAGTTCAGAGGGAGATATGGTCAGAGAGACATATCATAGGTGGATCTAGGGTTAGGGTTAGGGTCTACGCAACCGAGCCCAGTGCCGTAGATGACGAGGGCTACCCAGAGGAATCACAATGACGCTCGGATTAGAAAAGACAGCGAGCGGCGGAGGAGGGACGGACAGGGACACAAGCAGACGAACTCACATAGTTCACTGAGGGGATAGATAGGGAGAAGGGAGGGGACGGTAAGAGCAGACTCAGGGTGAGATAGGGGAGCTATAGCAGGCGGATCGAGTTTACCGAAGTCAAGGATGACAGTCGACGAGGACGAGAGCTCTGGGCCAGTGAGAGGAGAGTAGAGATCAGAGAATGGCACGGCGGGGAAGGAAATGATTTAGGCTTTGGGTGGGAGGGGAGCCCAGCGGTGGGGGCTTTTATATGAAGGAATGAGGGGGCGCTAGGCTAGGGCCTAGGGTGGTAGGGAGCCGTTGGGGCCAGGCTGCCACTTGGCCTGCCGTTGTTGGCCAGGTCAGGCCTTGCCAGCACAGTAAGGCCTAGGCATGGCCTGCTCCTTTGGGCCGGGTCAGCTCAGGCTCGATGGACTCTGAGTCAGGACAGGCATGGGCCGGGCTAAGAAAACGGGCTTCTGGTCGGGCTGTCGTGCCTCAGGCTTCATGGACATCTATAGTTATATTTATTCGCATCCATAGGTATCCAACCATATGAGACCATTTATCCCTTGGACATCTATAGTTATATTTATTCGCATCCATAGGTATCCTCAGGCTTCTGGTCGGGCTGTCGTCTGAGGCTTGAAGGCCTGTGGGGCGACTCCCTTGGACCCCAGTTATCCAGGGAGCCCCCGCGCAGCATCACCCTGTTTCTAGAAGGCCCCGAACAAAGCGCCCCAACAACGTTTCCATTCGGTCTCCGCAACGCCGCGGCGACCGCCGGCCACCTTCTGGCACTACGCATGGTTCAGCCGCCTACGGACAGTGAGTTCGTGGGGGTAATCGAACACGATCCGGAGACACTCTACAGGCTCCTCGCGGAGGATCTAGAGTCGTCCTCTAGCTCTGACTCCAGCAATGGGAGTCATCACCCTTCTTGGGAATGCTTCATGACGCAAACCCCCGAGGGACACGTCCAAAACGTCTCTGGAGAAGAGACAACCCCAACAGGCAACCCCGACACCAGGATCAAGGCGGAGACGACGGCTCCATCTCACGTGAGGATGGAGCAGCTAAGAGCACGAAAGCTGGAGATCGATGACGCTGGGTAACAGCTTGTCTGGGAGTACCGAAACATCGAGGAGGAGATCAAGCGTCGCGGAGACGGTGGGCACGCACGCACCTCGGCCTGTGATGTGCATCGGAGGATCCTCACCGATGATGGGACTCTCCCTCATTTCGCTCGGGCAAGCCAGAACATCGCCGCAGCAACGGCCTTGCTACATGGCCTTCCGGAGGCCGCGACGTCCGAGGATCGCCTCGCCCGTTGAGAAATTCGCACGTTGCTCGAACGTGCGGCGGCGCAGCAGGCGGAAAGCTCGTTGTCTCGACGACGTGAGTCCGACACCAGCCAGCGCACGCCCTTGGTACGTCCCGCCAAGGACACGTCCGTTCACCAGACGCCACCGGGCAACAGGCAGCGCTCCGCTATCTCGCTACATCAACGTCTCGGCCATAGCCGTGACATGCGCAGCACCATCGACGCCCGCAGGTGCACCCGTGGCGACGAAAGAGAAGAAGCCCATCATGGCTATCATCCACGACGTGGCAGATGCTACGACAGCAGCGAGGACCGGAGCCCGAGTCCCAACCTACCTGGCCCTTGGGTCTTCGGCCGACACATCCTCAATGCTGTGTTCCCCCCGAGGTACCGACCGCCCACCAATATCCTAAAATATTCTGGAGAATCAAACCCCGGGCTTTGGCTCAAAGACTATCGGCTTGCCTGCCCAGCCAGTGGTGCGAGTAATGACAATTTCATTATTCGCAATCTCCCGCTATTCTTGGCCGATTCGGCACGAGCGTGGTTGGAGCACCTACCGTCCAATGCCATTCAGAGTTGTCCTGGGAACATCGAACAGCTACGTCCTGGGAAGGGCCCTACGTCATCGCGG